CAGGTCAGCTGTGGAATAAAAAGAGCTGCTAAAAGTATAAACAACTGTGTTAAATCATTTTCATTTATTCAGAAGACACAGCGCTGCGCACCATACAGCCTCCCACCCCCAGTGGGGGGTAGTCCTGCTCTCTGAGATCGAGGAAAGAAAATTTGTTCTTTTCAGCAGTGTTATGTGGAATTAAAGGAGCTGCTTAAAGGAATGAAATGTGCCGTTAATGTCGTGTCTCCTGGGTTGTTACAGTCACAGAAATAAAAATCTAAACCATTTTCATCTCTCTCTAGTCCAGCTCCGTTTTTTCTTTGGTCAAATATTTTTWATTTAAGTGTAAACAACTGTTACATAGTTTTCATTTATTCAGAAGGAGAGTGGAGAACGCATTTGTTGGCAGCAGTTGGAGGAGTCTTCTAATTTGGACAGCCTTGAAAGTGGCGCAGTGACGTCAGCATCCAACAAGTTAGGCCTTCAAAGACTGCAGCCCATGAATTTGGTCAAAGCTAATGTTTAGCCGACTGCTAGCTTTGCTCGTAGCATCGACGCTAGCCTCATGTAGTGTTTTACTGCAATCAGTCACACATACAGTGAAAATATTACAATTACCGGTACACAAATTCTAAACATCACCATTAAGTTTCTAATGCAGAAGTGATGGCTGGAGTGATAGAAATACACACAGGAGAGCTAAGATATAAAACACTAACCTTTTTAACAAATCCACTCACTTTCCAAGTCTGTCAAAGACCTTGACACCCCAGCCAAAATTTCAGCTGAACTTTCCAGTGATTGCTAAAGTCGGATGTGTTGAAATTCAGTCTAGGAACATCTATGTTAAAACTAAATCTTTGTATAATCCACGCCGATAGTCTGATCATTTCGGAGAGCTGCAGATAAAGTATGTAAATGATATTCATGCGTAACGAGTGGAGATCGCCATCGAAGTCTATTCCTGCCTCTTAGCCTGTACTTTCAGGAGGCTTTGCACGTAAATGAGTTGTTTAAAAAGCCAATTTTATTTATTAAAAAGTAAGCTTGTGAACAGTTCACACTTAAAAGCTCCTTTTTACATTCACCCATTAAAAGAAACATTCACACAGAGTTCCTTCTATTAGACTTTAATGGGAAAAATGACTGTGATTGGTGACTTCAGCCTTTTTTGAGAAAATAAGTTCTCTCCCTGCAGATGTACCTGCGGGAGCTGCTGCGACTCATGCTGCCGCGCTTCCACCAGCACCTGACCCGGCTCGGGGAGGACGGGCTCCAGCTGCTCTTCTGCCACCGCTGGATCTTGCTTTGCTTTAAAAGAGAGTTCCCTGACACTGAGGCCCTGCGCATGTGGGAGGCCTGCTGGGCTCACTACCAGGTCAGGACAAAGTCCAGGCTGCTCCTTTTGCCTACACACGTTTGAAATTAGAGCTTTGCATACCGTGTAACAGCACACTACTCTGTTTTAATACAGCTCCACGAGTGTGTTGACTTTTTGGTATTTTTCAGGAAGCCTGTAGGAGTGAGTTAACTTATTATGTAACCTAAAGATTCAGTGTTATTCTTTTTAAAATCTGGCATCTAAACAGCTGTAATCATCTAGCTATAAATGTCCTCTGAGTCTTGGAGAGATTTAATGGGATTTTTTAAAAAGTGAATTTATGTCTTTTCCGCCCCTCGTTTTTATCAGGGTCCAGTAATTTCGTGACTGTATTCTGTTCCACAAACTAACACCAGGAGCTTAACAGGTCCTCTCGCCGAGGCTCAAATGTCGATGCCTCGCCATCTGTTCAGACACCCTGCTGGATGTTTGGATCTTCAGCTGCAGGTGCTGATGGAGGAGATAGTATTTGTGTCTGTGTGATACCTTTAAACTGTAGCATTGAACCAGATAAGCTTTAAGCAAGAATTACTGATTGATATCAGATTTTTCTTTGAAGAGCAGGCGTCATGCTCTCTGATCGCGTCGTATGAATTTATACTAACGGACAGTGTTGTATAAAGTGCCTGAAAGTAATACTTGAGTAAAAGTACAAGTATCTTATCATAAAATTACTTTAGCAAAAGTTCAAGTCTTCTCTAAGAATACTACTTGAGTAAAAGTCTTAAAGTAGCTGATTTATTTTGTACTTAAGTATCAAAAGTAAATTTCTGACACAAAATGTACTTAAGTCATAAAAGTAAAAGTATTGAGTAAAAATGAACGGTTAGATTTTCCAAAATACATTCACTGGAAGGTGACCTCTTCAAAAAATATTTTTTCTAAAGGTGTGCAACTTTGATTAATTGTACACAAACTAAATACAGTATCAGAATGGTATATATTTATACTTCTCATCCAACCACATTTAAATTCACTCTATGAGCCACAATTTTTAAGGATGTATATATATATTTTTTACAATAACAAGCCGAAATGAAATGGGAGAAGCGACTTTCTACTCTACCTTTTTAAAAAATGTAAGGATTAGAAAGTACAGACACAACGGGTAAAATAAGTCTTGAACACTTCACCATTTTTCACAGTAAATATATTACTAGAGGTGCTAATGACATGAAATTTTCACCAGATGTTGGTAACAACCCAAGTGATCCATACATACAAAGAAATCAAACCATAAATGTCCAGAGATGAAGTTATTTGTAATAATGTGGAATGGCACAGGGGAAAAGTATTGAACACACTTACTGAAATTTATCTAATACTTTGTACAAAAGCCTTTGTTGTCAATGACAGCTTCAAGACGCCTCCTGTATGGAGAAACTAGTGGCATGCATTGCTCAGGTGTGATTTTGGCCCATTCTTCCACACAAACAGTCTTCAAAATCTTGAAGGTTTCGTGGACCTCTTCTATGAACTCTGATCTTTAGTTCTTTCCATAGATTTTCTGTTGGATTCAGGTCAGGTGATTGGCTGGGCCATTCCAGCAGCTTTAGTTTCTTTCTCTGAAACCAACTGAGAGTTTCCTTGGCTTTGTGTTTGGGCTCATTGTCTTGCTGAAATGTCCAGCCACGTTTCATCTTCATCATCCTGGTAGATGGAAGCAGATTTTTATCAAGAATGTCTCTGTACATTTTTCCACTCATCCTTCCTTCAATTATTTGAAGTTTGCCAGTACCATATGCTGAAAAACAGCCCCACACCATGATGTTCCCACCTCCAAACTTCACTGTTGGTATGGTGTTTTTGGGCTGATGTGCAGTGCCATTTGACCTCCAAACATGATGTGTATTCTGGCATCCAAACAGTTCAATGTTGGTCTCATCTGACCAGACTATATTCTCCCAGTATTACACAGGCTTGTTTAAATGTTGTGCAGCAAACTTTAAAGGAGCTTCAACATGCTGTTTCTTCAGCAGTGGAGTCTTGCGTGGTGAGCGTGCATACAGGCCATGGTGGTTCAGTGCATTACTTATTGTTTTCTTTTAAACAATCGTACCTGCTAATTCCAGGTCTTTCTGAAGCTCTCCACAAGTGGTCCTTGGCTCTTGGACAACTCTTCTGATAATTCTTTTCACTCCTCTGTCAGAAATCTTGTGAGGAGCACCTGGTCGTGGTCYGTTTATGGTGAAATAATGTTCTTTCCACTTCTGAATTATGGCCCCAACAGTGCTCACTGGAACCTTCAGAAGTTTAGACATTCTTCTGTAACCGATGCCATCATTATGCTTTGCAACAATAAGGTTGTGAAGGTCTTGAGAGAGCTCTTTACTTTTACCCATCATCAGATGGTTCTTGTGTGATACCTGGCCATCATTTGGGACTGAACCAGCTGATATTAACTTGCACTGACAAGGGGCAGYCTTGCTTTCTAATTACTGAGAGAGTTCAGCTGGTGTCTTGTCTTTCCATGCCTTTTTACACCTCCCTTTCTTCATGTGTTCAATACTTTTTCCCTGTGCCATTCCACATTATTACAAATAACTTCATTTTTGGACATTTATGGTTTGATTTCTTTGTATGTACGGATCACTTGGGTTGTTACCGACATCTGGTGAAAATTTCATGTCATTAGCACCTCTAGTAATATATTTACTGAGAAAAATGTTGACGTGTTCAATATTTATTTTACCCGCTGTAACTGTATAAAAATATAAGGAGTAGAAGTAAAAAGTAGGCTGAAAAATAATTACTCAAGTAAAGTACATATAACCAAAAATTCTACTTAAATACAGTAGCAAAGTATTTGTTCTTAGTTACTTTACAACTCTGCTAATGGACGCACAGGTTGTCAGAAGTATGTGAATAAAATCGTTGGTGTTGTTTTAAAAAAATAAGAGCTTATTAATAAAAAGAACACCTGCCTGTCTTCAGTTTAAAAGTGAACTCCAGTAGACTGAACAATAAAAGTTTGTTGGGTAGGACAGGGATGAGCAACTTTAATGATGGAAGGAGCTTCAGTATTTTTGTTGACTCTACCAAAGGGCCACACAGTGCTGCACACTGAACCACTCTGTGATTTTTGCAGACGGACTACTTCCACCTGTTCCTGTGCGTGGCCATCATCGTTCTGTACGGAGAGGACGTAACGGAGCAGCAGCTCGCCACCGACCAGATGCTGCTCCACTTCAGCAACCTCTCCATGCACATGAACGGAGAACTGGTGCTCCGCAAGGTATCGCTGCCGGGGCGGTGGGGGGGAGGGGCTTGTGTCTTTATCCTAAATCCTCCAACATCTGCAGCTTTGCAACTTAAGTTTATTTATTTTAAGAATTTCTTAGAATCCAGCTGTGTTCTTATTGATTTAGTCCAAACCCAGCGCTGCTTGCATCAAGGTCCCACGATAAACTGCCCTCTGAGGCCTTGAGCTGCTGTCAGGCCGTGCAGAGGATTAATGATCTTCATCTCTGCTGTAGTGCCTGCTCTCATCTTTATTTATGTTGTGTTCGTGCTGCTGCAGCCACGGGCAGCACACCTCTGTTAGCTTGCATCGTTGTTGTTGTTGTATCCGATTTTTGCATCCGATGATCTCAGAGCAAACATTCAGGCTTTTGGAGCTGAACTCTGCGTGACTCTGACCTTGACGGTTTGCTTTTAGCTCAGAGACCGAGCTATTGATTTCTTTTAAAGCTTCAGTGGGTTTTGTTTGCATTTGCTGAAGCCTCACCCTTTTTTGTTTTGGTTCACTTTGTTCCTCCAGGCCCGAAGCCTTCTGTACCAGTTCCGCCTCCTTCCCAGGATCCCTTGCAGCCTTCACGACCTTTGTAAACTGTGCGGCCCGGGGATGTGGGACAGCCGCTACATCCCCACCGTGGAGTGTTCAGGCGAACACCCGGACTCGCAGAGCTGCCCCTATGGAGGCACGTCCACTCCTCAGAACTCCTCGCCCTCCCCGTCTTCCTCACCCAACCACACGCCCACGCCTCCACCGGTCAGCAAGAGAGGCTCCAAAAAACGGGACATTTTCACCTTCAGGAAGCAGTCCTGAGGAGGGAACCTGTCCGAAAAACTCCACATTCACTTTATCGACTCCTAGTTTAACGATATAATTAATTTGTTTTGTCACGAGACATTTCCACGTGGTGCGATGTTGAACACTGCCTTATCAGAATGTTGTTTCAGAATCACGTGAACCTCGACGAGGATGGCTCGCTGTCGGACAGAACGCAGGGCAGGAGGCTGCTTTCCTCTCAGAGCAGAGCAGGCAATAACCAGCCGCTGTGCTGGTCTGGAGCTCCTTCAGGTTTGAGTCTGCTGCTGGCTTGGCATTCTTCCACAGGCTTTGTAGGCCGCGGGTGGTGGTGGTGGTGTTGCGGGGAGGGGTCACATCAGGGTCTCAGGCAACTGGGCTAAATCCTTTCAGACTCTGACGAAGGGTCAAACTTGAACTTTTCAAAGCATTGCTGTGTACTCACAATGGAAACAGTTGTGCGGACGTCAAATTCTCTGTGCGTAGCTTAAATCTGAGCTGGATATTTTTGACAAGAAATCCAAGTTTTTGGTGTTAACTCCTGAAGTTTTATTTTATTTTTTATTTTCAACAAGTGAATGTTTGCATTTATATCAGCAGTTACAAATATTTAGCAATATTATCCCTGCATGAGCAATTCTTTACATAAAGATTTCCATATTTGTTGTGGAAACATGAAAGGTGGGAGGGATCGTCATGTTTTCTCATCGAACAGAACATCCTGTTTGTTTCATTATTAAAACTTTTTATGTTTTTACTGACATCCAGGAGGAAAAAAAAACATTCTTTGTCCACAAGAGTATTAGCCATCTCCATGTTAGCATCATGAAGTCTCACGTCTGTGCACTGCATGAATGTGTTGCCAAAGAACGCTCCAGTTACGTTTTCATCCTGAATTCAATCGTTTTCTGTTCTACTTGAAATTCTAACCTCTGCGTTGACGCAGCTGTCAGCAGGTTGTTTTTTTGTACTCTTTACACTTTCACTTTGAAATGAATGACACTGCAGTCAAACGAGTCCACACGAATGTATGTCTTTGCTTCTTTTCATCAGACATCAACACTTCTAATTCTCGAGTGTGTGTGTGTGTGTGTGTGTGTGTGTGTGTGTGTGTGTGTGTGTGTGNGTGTGTGTGTGTGTGTGTGTGTGTGTGTGTGTGTGTGTGTGTGTGATGACCGCTCCAATTTATTACAGGGGATAGAAAATGTGCAGCAGCGAGGTCGTTGCTCATGTTTTAGGCTTTGTAAACTTTATTATTAAAGTTTTGATCTCGTTGACATGGGGTTGGACTTAAGTTTAGAGAAAAAGTTTGATTCTTTTTTTTTTTATTGATGTGTTGATAATGACATCAATAATCAATAAAAAAAGAAAAAGTTTGATTCTGACTGCATTGGTCTAAGTCACYATCAAAGTGCTGTCATCATTTTGGTCCGAATTAGTTCCTGTTTCTCCAAACTGAGGCTGTTCAATGATCTATCTACAACAGGTAAGATATTACTTGTTCATAACCTTTCCAAAATCTAAACTCTCTCTTCAGGATCCACAGCTTGTTTCCTCTGAAAGCCTTTGAGGAGAGTAATCTGCAAAAAGCTGCTATAATTTCAGATTTTGTAGCATTTTTTTTATGTTTCCAGCCTTCCAGCTGGTGACCCCCCCCCCCTTTTTTTTTTGTTTATCATGAAGCAGTTTTGACAACAGAGAGGCAAAATGAGCCAATTTAGAAAAACATGGTGGGGAAAAACATCTTTGAATGTGAATACATGAATTTATTTACATTACAATCACACTGTTTACACAAAAATGGTTGTTCACAYTTTTGATTTCTGACTGCTGCTTTAAAGAGGTTGATATGAATTGTTGTCATGAATGTTTTCTATTTTATGTTGATMTATTGCTGCACACATCACAGGTAAAAAGAGCCTATTCTTATTACTGTATTATTAAAAACAACACTAACAACCACTTTCAGACCTTTTACTTATTTTGATAAATACAAATGTATTCCTACAAAATATTAGTTTGTGATTGATACAAATAATTATTTGTATTTTGAAACAAAACTAATATTTGTAATTTAAAGTGAGATATTTTGTGCAAACCTTTAATTCAAACTGTTGATTTTATATCACAAACCACTTTTATTGAGCCATTTTATGGATTTAAGTTGATCTAAATAAATAAATATGGAAGTTATTTAAATAAACTGTGTGAAGGCACAAAGCAGCCAGGCTTATTTAAGTATTGTAGAATAAAAAGAACTAGAAAAATTGCATTTATTACAAAAAAAGCAGTGTGAATGCTTATTGCTGGAAGATTTTTTTGCTAAGCTGAAGAAGCTAAAGTTAAGCTGAAAAGGTCTAATGTCAAAACTGTTAATGTGAGATCATTTAAACAGCTCACATTTGCTGAAAAAAGGAAAACAAAAGTGCAAAATTGATAAAAATGTGTTTTAAAAAAACAGCTAGAATTAGCAGAACAAAAGCTCAAATTTAACTGAAATAGCCTAAAATATCACAAAGAAGCAGAAAAAGCACAGGTTTGCTGAATTAGYCTGTAAGAAACTGAAATTATTACAAAAAGATTAATTTAACTGGAAAACGCTGAGATTTGCTYAATAACAGCTTAAACGGCAAAACAACTGAAATTAGCAGAAAGATAAACAAAAATGTTGAAAGTTGAATAAAAATAGCAAAAAGGATAGCAAAGTCATGCTGAAATTGTAGAAAGGAGCTAAAATTAGCAAAACAGAAGCCGAAGAAAGCTAATATATCTCATGTAAGTTTAACAAAACAATGGGTAAAAAGTAATTATTTAGTGTTTTAAGGATGTTGAAGACAGCTCCATTCATTTTCAATGAGAGCAAAAATGGCAGGAAAAGCAAAATGACTAAAATATAAACTGCARAAATACCAAAAGTCATAGAGTGTCCTGAAGGAGCTGAACACTGATGTATGAGTTTTTGAAATTACACAAAAATTTCAAAACAAGTTATGTGCTGAGAAAAATATGGGGGGGAAAATGATGAATTGTGTAACCGTTTGAAAAGCATTAATTAATACAATTATTCTTATTAAACCCATTTTCTGTTCCCACTTTTAGAATCAGAGCTGTCTGCCTTTATCAGAGCATAAAATTAAGCTCCTGAGCAGGAAGTACATCCATCAGCACTAACAAATGACTGGAAGAGAAAACATGAATCCTTTTTAAACAGACGAGAGCGAACACTGAAAGCCACTTGAGAGGCTCAAACCTGGCCTTGCAGAGGACAGCGGACCTTGAAGACAAATCAGTGAGKGTGGCAGGAACGACCTGCAGCTGCAAAAAGCTTGAAAACGGCTTAAATAAAAAAACATTTAAAGGTTTGTAGTTTGTTACTGAAGGCTACAAATAATTTAATCAAATTTAATCTTAATTTAACAACATGAAAGCCTTATTGCTCYTGTTCAGTAACTTTTCTTATGTTAGTTAAATAGTCTGACACAAAAATAGTTTCTGTGTTTTCTGAAGCAATYTCTGTTCTGGACTAGAACTGTAAAGAGTTAATACGATAATGCCTGCTAATGAAAACGATAAAAACAAACAAAACAGCAGCTTTAACAAAATAGAATGAGGTAGCAACTGTCTTCAACTTTGTAGTRTTTTTTTTTWTTATTATTCCAACATGTTGAACCTTATCAAAGCTTTTAAATTGGGCCTTTTTTAAAATAAATTGTCACGTCAGGTTAAATTTGAACGTCTGAAATGTGCTGAATAAAACCAGTTTTTGGGTTTTGTTTCCGACTTCACTGAAGTCTGAACCAGTTTTACTAGAGGAACACCAGCTTCCTGACATTGTTTGGCTTTTACTGGAACTTCCCACATCTGATGAAAAACATAAAAAAACTTTCCTCATCATGGCGATTAGTGAGATAAACCATCTGATGAAATAAAGTAAACCTTTCTGGATGTGGACTACATTTCATCTCAGAACATTTCTGCACCTGACTCATTTTGGAAGCAGTCCAAAGCCCTGTCACTAACATGTTGCCCTGCGAGGTCTTTTAKCATGATGTTTGGAAATATGTGTCCAAAGAAGGATGGAAAAGATGAGTTATGAAGTCTGTTTTCAGTTTTCAGATGAGCTAAAGCCTCCTTGAKTGAACGATCTCCGTCTTATCAGCCTCGGCTGCTTGTTGTGGCTCCTTGACGGCGCGTGTGATTCCTCAGGCACATGACAACCATCAACTGTCTGTCACTGACAGCTGTGGAGATGCTATCAGACCTCATTATCAAGTGTTTCTCTAAAAGAAAAACAAACAAAAGCGAGGAAGTAGTCAGGCTGACAGGTGCCTTTGGGGACTGGCTGGTTGTGCYGGTATTCTAGTCTTTTGAGGTATTAGCAAAATAATATTTAAAGTATTGTTTTACTGGAACAATCAGACATGTTAAGCTTGTTTTTATTTGTGCGTCGTGACCTATCAGTCCTTTTTCATCTCTTTTTATCCTCCTCTTCTTTTTTCTGACAAACAATAGAATAAAAACACCAGAGTTGACCAAAAGGCTTTATTGTTTTAGTAAATAAAGTTTATCAAAAGACCCGTGTCTTTAAAATAAAAACACCAATAAGATTTTCAAACCCAGCATTGCTTGAAGTGTTTTCATTGTTGTTTGCTTCAGACATTTTGTATTCGTGTTTATTAAACAAGAGTACAACTGTTGTACATACATCTTTGCATGAACTTATTGCACCGCTTGTTGGTTTAAGAAAAACGCACATTGGTTCTTGAACCCCATGGGGACCTTCCATTGACTTCCATTCATTTTTTTTTTTTAGACTTTATATCCTAACGCTGACCATTTACCTTATAATAACCTCACAGGTACCTGACCCTAAAACTAACCTACACTTCAGTCCTAAACCTGACCTCCCCACATTTGCATTTGGACCCCTTAGGGACCTGGCATTGGTCTCCATGATTCACTCCGGTCCCCACAAGGCTGCTTTTTTGGGGGAAATTTTCCCCACATTGTAGGACCCCCCCCCCCCCACACACACACACACACACACACCCACACACACACACACACACACACCCTCTCTCTCCCTCACTTCTTCCTTCCTCTCAGC